TGGTGTATAGCACCTGATATTGCCTCTTGCATAATTGGCAGGGATCTTGAGGATACAGTTGTGTTTTGGCTGTATGGTCGCAGTTGCTGTCTTCTTTTGTGTGATACAAGAAGAAGGAAAACAATGAAAGAAAACAAAGCAAAACAAAACAGAAAAAAGAAAAAAAGCAGCTCACATAGCAGGGGGAACTGTTGGGGAATGAAAATCAGTGATTTTTATTCTCCGCCAGTAAGTAGAGTCTTGATGTGGCACTGTGGGTTAATGCGCTGGACTATAAAGTCAGTTTGAACAGCAAGACCATTCATTCAAACTTACCAGCTGCTTCTTGGAAACCCTATACAGGGTCACTATGGGTCTGAACTGACTCTATAGCACATAATAACAACCACACGATGTGGGGTACTCCACCAACTGCTAGCCTCTTGACTTCACAGCCACCTAAGAAAGTTCAAATTGGCTACTCTGCGTCCAAAGGGTGGGTCCACACAGATCACCCACCTCCTTCCCTTCCCTTCCTTTCCCTCCTCCACCTTTTTTCCCTCTCTACCCCACATGCCCATTTATCCACCTCTTCCAGTGATAGCTGATCCAGGGTTGACCAGGGTCATCTTTGCAGGTTTGGATCAAAGCCTGCCTTACAATATTCAGGTGGTTCCAACTGCCTGGAAAGTGGGAGATTCCCGGGGGTTGTATGCTGGTCAGGGAAAAAAAGAAGAAAAAATAAATCGCACCTTTGTCTCCGTAAGCCACTGGTAGGTTTTTGTCGTGCAGATATATTTTCTACAGCTGTTTCAAGATGGCTGCTGCAGATTCTGTCAGCTACTGCTGCTAGTCAGTCACCTCATCACTTGCTGTGTCTATTCAACTCTGCTTCTCAGTAAGCACTCCATCCACTTTTCTATTCATTCTTCAGGAGCACAGAGTTCCAGGACCATCTGCTGTGTCTGTTTTGTCCAGTTTTGTCGGGGACTGGCCTCGACACGAGTGTTTGGTTCACGAGGAGGGGATATCTGGTGGCGATAGGAATAGCAAAAGAATACACAGAAAGACAGAAGGAGGGAGACAAAGAGGCAACCTGAAACCAGGATGGTTGCATTACTGGTGTCCGGCAGCTCTGGCGTGGTGAACATATTAGCCATAAGGGCAGCAAGGTCCTGTATGGTAAACATCTTAGCTGT